AAAAAAAAATCTTGAGCAAATTATTCATTATGTAATTGACAATCAATCATTTAGATACCATGAATAGTTTTTTTCATGAGTTCTATAAAATAAAACCTTTAAAAAATGTTTTTAATTTTTTTTTTTTGTGTTAAAATCTGTGCGAAATTGATTTTACTGTCAAAAAATAAAAAAAAAAGCGGTGACTACAGGTTTTGAACGTACAGAAAATATAATAAATATCTTTTAAAAATCCGTTTTTTTTTTTTTTTTTTTTTGTAAAACACTCTCAACTTCTTTTTTTTTGACAAATAATAATAATAATTAAAAAAAGTAACAAATTTTTGAGTTGGCACACTTTGATATGTCATCATCATCATCATCGGCAAAAACATTATTATACAATCCCATTTCACATTCTGTAACAATTTTTTTTTTTTTTTTTTTTTTTTAAACTTTTTAAAAGGATTTAAAATCATCACGTGATTTTCACATTAGTTTGAAAAAAGGTTCGATATAAAACCACGAGGGCTGACAAAATCACGACGAAAGATGAAGCTCGTAGAAAGGAAGCAAAATTATAAATCGGACAATATGGACATTGACTGCTCCCACACACTTCGCATATATTTAAAATGTACGTCGGCAAAGAATCGAAAATGGTTTCGTTAAATCTTTCGGGAGCGTAATAATCGTAAACTCTGATGGGAAGGTATCGTGACATGTTTGCTACCGGGTACCATCTTTCAATTGTGAAATCAACGCACGTATCGTAATTATCGAGCTGTTGGAAAATTATACAAAAAAAATTATTATTATTATTTTTATAAATAAAATGAAAAAAACTTTTCGATTAATTTAATTTTAACTTACGTAATCAAAGTAAAACAAAACTTTTCTTTCCAAAAATCGTGCCCTTTGTAAATTTCTCACGCGTCGAGATAAAATATAAGCATCCAAATCCTGTTGTTGAATTATATACCCTGTCGGAATTGTCACATCGAGCACCGCCATTCCCGATCGAGCTGATTCTTCGAGATACGTCCATCTTTGACAACACCTGAAATTAATCATTTAAAAGTGTTTAGTAATAATTAAAAATTTCGCATTTGGAATGAAAAAAAAAAAAAAAATGCTATACCTGTAAGTAATGTGAGATTGATTCCTTCCGTGAAAGTTGGCTCTTGTTCTTAAATCGAAGGCTCGTACGGGGGGTTCGGTTTGAAATTTTGGTATATCAACATTATATTGAACCGTCATTTGCAAAATGGCGTAACCAGCTCCTTTGGCTTGCACTTTAACAGTACCCCATGCGCGAGGGATTTCCAACTTTTGTAACCGAGCACGATTTTGATCGTTCACTTGAAGAGTTACCACTTTACCGGGAAGAGCCGTCGCTTCTATGGTCACGGTTAAAGAAGATACCTCCCTAATTCTTTTTCTATTAGTGTATTCGATCAGAGCTTTCATTGCGACGGCAGTGTCCTAAAATAACGAAAGTTAAAGTCGTGTAAACGAATTCGAATTAAATTATTAACATAAACATTTTTTCGTACCTGAGTGGAAGCCCAACCGCCATCGGTTAACCTTTGGGCATTCAACCAATTGACGATTTCATCCATCATCCATTCTTGTCTTGCCGTGTAAACTAGCAAAGCGTAACTGGTAGCTTCTATATTACTAGAATCATACTTGTAAGGAAGCCTTGGCAAAGAGAAAACTTTTTGATTTTCTATTTTTGTCGGCGGTGGCGGCAAAGCTTCTTTTCCCCAGTAAGTGAAGCCACCTTCTGATCTGGCGTGACGAGCAAGAATACCAAAAGCTGATTCTGCAGAAGCAGATTTACTTAGCAATAACGAATAAGCAACGAGAGCTACTTCATAAGGATCTCCGCTTTCGTTAATTAATTTTAAATTTTTCTCGAGCCATTTCATTGCTTTTGTTTGAGCCAGGGAAACTCTGGATCCTAAACCCTAAAAGAAAAAGTGAAACATTATATATATATATAAAATACCTTAAATCTGTGATTTGTAATAATTATTCAATTAAACTCACCCCCGATAAATCTTTCACGGTATCCAACATAATTAGTACGTGAGCGGTTAATGTGATATTCCGGGAACCCAGGTAGTCATTGGGCCAAAATGAAGACGTGTTTGCTTTTCTGTCTGGTAACCAAGTCACTTCGTAAAATGAACCTTCGTAAGTTTGATGATCTAATACCCAGGACACGGCTTTGGAAATAACTTGAGGATCAATATAAATAAAATTTTCCCATTCGTAAAAACTCGCTTCTTGAAATATTCGAGCACAAAATGCAGTCAACCAAACACTTGGCGATGACTGATTCCTGGGAATTGAAAAAATTTTTTATAATTATTACAATTCACTAAAAAAAAAAAACCCAAAATCAAAATGTATAATAAATTACCAATCTGTTCTGAAAAAGCTGAATGAACCGTCAGGATTCATATATGACAACTGTTTTTGATAACCAACGTTCATATGGAAAAAAGATTCTTTTTCTTGGGTTTTGTTTCTTTGATTAACGTATCTCATGTACAACGTAGTGTAAAGATTGGCGGCAAAACTAAAAATATTTTGTTCCGCGCAATCCATGGGAAGGTACAGGAGAGAAGATGCGTTGACTGGCATGGTGGGAAATATCGGTCCGACAACATCTCCAACGATTGAAACATATGCTTTATTGGAGCCGAAAACATAATATCTATCTTCCGAATAAGGAATTATCGGTGTATCAGTGACATTCACGTGAAGATATTGGAAAACGTAAGCACGATTACTGAGATCTAGTAAAATAGATTGATGACGATATTGTGGAAGTCCGTCGGCCTAAGGTCAAAAAAAAAATTTTTAATTAGTAAAATTTAAAAATTTAATATTTTTTTATAATTAATAATAATAATAATAATAATAGTAAATACATACTTTCACATGCAGTCTTTTTGTAATGGTATCTCTACCGATTAAAGTGGCAGCGAACACTGTTACGTCTATGTCCCCCAATCTTGTTGGAACAATAGGGATGTATACAGTAACCGCATCCTGTTTTGGTATGTAAACAAAGAATTGATGCTCTCCAAACGAAGTTCTCGGATTGTAAGATCTGACGATACCATCTTGTTCTACGTGAACAAATTTATAATCATCCGAACCGGCTAGAATAACCGTTGCTTCCATGTCAGTTGTAAGGTAATTAAAAACGGCGACTCGAATACCAATTTGTTCCCCTTGAGAACAAGTGGTAGGCATTTCAACTTCAATAAAAAAGGGTAGTACACCAACATACTGCAAAATTAAAACGATTCACATTTAATTTGTTTCATTTTAGTGAATAAATGCGTTAAACTTAAGTTTCGGTATCCTTACTTCTATCGGTTTTTGAAGCATGCCAAAACCAACCAAATGACTCATACTAAAAGCAGAAACGATCCAGTGTGCAGGTCGCCTGGGTACAGGCAAATCAAAAATGTACCTTCCGTGAGGTCCGATATTAATATCTTCCCATAACCAGACATTTTCATATTGTCTTTGTATTCTACTAAATCTATGTTTTCTGAACAGCATTAAGTCCGTAACATTAAATGATGGACCTGTAAGCGGTAAGAGTAGATTAATTGATTTATTTTTAATTATATTTAAATGAGTAGGTCAAATTTTTCAAAATTGCATACATCCACTTTCATCGGAGCCATCTTGACAATCTTTATGACTATTACACTTAGTTGATATATGATAACAACCTCCGCTTAAACATTCCAAATAACCAAGAGAAGAGTCACAGAAATTAGAAATTCTGGATAAAGTTGCATCGCTGAATACAATTAACCCAGCATATTCAAAAGTCCGATTAACATCGATGCCAAAAGTATTTGAGGGAAAATAAACGTTGTCATCAGGATTGCCTTCGTGATTGCGCCATGAAAACTTAAAAGTTCCATTTGTATCTTCATCAAAGCGCGACATGGAATCGATAACCTGTAATTTAACATTAGTATTTGTTTTAAAATTTAAAAAAATGAAATTTGAGTTTGGGTTATTTCTGAAAAATACGTACTTTCGAATAAGTCAATTCATTTCCTGCTTGCATGGCGTAAAATGATTTATCTATACCAGAGAGAGCGACGTAAGCTCCTGGTTCACCGTAAATGGCAATCTCAACCTTTTTACCAGTTCTTGCTTTACGATTATTAATGAAAATTGTAAACTAAAAAAAAAAATAATAATAATAATAATAATAAAAAAATCCGTTGTTAAAGTAAACATTTTAAATAGGGTCGATTACTGTATATTAATCTCACATTATTTCTAGAAATTCCGTTAACCGGAAATGTCAAACTGTCAGCAGAAACATCTCCATTGAGTCCCACGTTATACACGACAACTGTGGCTTCTGGTGCCATTTCGGCACTTAAGGGTATCGCAAAAGTTCTAACGGTTGCTTTCATATTTTCTTGTCCGGTTAACAATATCATTCCCTTAGACATTAACATATAATTAAAAGTATCCATGTAATAATTAGATTGCACGTGCAAAACAAAATACTCTCCCACCTAAAAAATTTATTTCGAAATTATTAAGGTTTTCAATATTTTGCTACAATTAAAATAAAAAACCGTTACGAACCCGAGCATGTTGCGTTGAACTGGTGACTTTAATATGTCTGTTATGAGGTGAATAATGAGTCGTAAGATATGCATCAGTCCCGGCGTCCTGTCCAAGAGAATCCCGATAGAAAACTTTCAGATTTATTGAATAAATGCTATTTAAAATATCTCTGCTTATTCTGTTTTCTCCCAGCGCTGTAAATTTGAAATTTTTCTAAATAATAATAACAAATGCGAACCTTAAGGTTTAAAAATTTTTTCTTTTAAATTACTCACATAATTCAGATTTTAAATCAACATCAAGCTCCCAAACTCCGCTGTATTCACTCGACATTCTTAAATCTTCAGGAGTATCAAAATTGATAATTCTTTGTCTACCCGATTTCATTCCAACCGCGGCTTGAACTTCTAACCGACCTGCTTGCAACCTTTCTAAAGGTAGCGGTGAATTATCTTGAAAGGAGACGGCTATCTAATGTTGCAACATTAAATGAATAAACTCCGTTAACCAAAATTTATACAACGAAAATTACAAAAAATTAAATATTAAATTTCATTTGCATTTCTTACGAATAATGCAAAAGGCATCGTCGGTTTGAAAACTTGAGGTGAACCCCCCAGAACAGTGACTTTAATCGAGGAATTATATATTCTCGCAGTTGAAAATCCTTCAATAACTTCTTCTAAAAATCTTTCTCCCACTGTAGCTGTAACCATTATTTCAACTCCATCGAGTGAAATTCCACTATTGACCAATTCAGACATGGGATATTTAAAATGGTATACTCCGTTAAACTAAAATTTGAATTTTTTCCGATTTTTAACATTTAAAATATACACGTGAGTATGCACGTGGTACGAGTACATCAAATAAAAAATTTTTACTTACAAATGTCAAATAAGGCAAGTTTCCTCCGTAGTAACTGTTGTAATTATTATTTTCTTGATAGTAATAATAATTACTTTGGGGTCTGGGAAACCAAAATGGATAAGATTCATCAAATGTAAAATATTTAACGATTGGTTTAGCTCTTTGACCGTGTCCATAAGTTTTTATCGGACGAATGCTTGCTTTCAAAGTGAGATTACCCCTTACGGGAGCCCCACTCGTATAATTTGCCATAACGGTTCCGTATATATATTTATCGGATTCGAAGAAAAACGCAGGCATGGTCACATTGACTTCAAATCTAGTTTGATAATATTCTTCTACTAAAAATTTCCCTTCTTCGATTTGTCCCTGAGCTACTATTTGAATTGTCCATTCTCCGAAAACCGGTTGATCTGAAAGCTGGTAAGATAAACTTACGGTTCCTAAATTAGATTGCCTCGACAGCCATCGCCGCATTATGTGTCGGTTGGGGTTCAACATGAAAACATCAACGGAATCATCAAAAGGACGCAACTCTGTCGTAATGGGTATCGAACGAAATCTCACTAATAAAAAAAAAAAAAATTAAAGACTTTAACAATGAAAAAAATTTTTTTTTAAAATCTTTTATTTATTTATTTTTTTTTGGTTATTTTATTTTACCTGTTTGCCCTTGCATGTAAACTGGTTTGTCGGTTTGAATAAATATTGTCATCGATCTTTGAGAAAATGTTAGAGTCGTTTCATTTATAAATGCGGTGCCGCCTTGTAAGCTGTCGTACGTTCCTTCGACTCGAAGCTTATAATGACCGGGAACAATGGTTCGAGGCATTCTCAGTAATAAAGTTTCAGGGATTCCTTCTTTTACATCTTTACTATCAGCGGTCAGTTGGACTCCGTTTCTTTGAATGTTAGCTCTGACAATTAAAGGCACTGGCGCCTGCAGTACAGTAACTGCTATTCTGTAAATAGTGCCTGGCCTCACTATTTTTCCGGCTACGATAAAATACGTTCTAAAAAAAAAAAAGAAGCAAAATTAGTAAATCTTAAATCCAATAATAAAATAAAATAATTATTAATTTATTTTTAACGTATTTTTACACTTACGCTTCTCGTATGATGACGCTATTATTAAATAACGAATCTTGCTCCCAATATGTTCTTGGAGATTGACCAGGCCAATTGGAGTTTGGATTCTGATAGTAAGAATTTGCATTTTGATTAGAATTTTGCCCGTTCCAATATGGGTTTTGATAATTACTGTTTTGCCCTAAGGAATTCCCTTGCGAAAAAAATTGATAATTTTGATCTCCTTGACGTATTGAATCCTCCGGAATATTAGAAGGAAAAATTTGAGACACTCCAGAATGCAAAATCACGAAGAAAACAAAAAGTAACAACGTGCTATCTTTTACCCAATCCATTGCTGAAAAGAAAAATACCTATTGTTATGTTTTGTTAAAATAATAATTATTAGGGGGCAGGTACGGTTAAATGAATATTATTAAAAACCAATTAATTTTTAAAACAAAAACAAAAAATAACAGTTTGCATCGGCCGGGAATCGAACCCGGGCCGCCCGCGTGGCAGGCGAGCATTCTACCACTGAACCACCGATGCTTACGATGAGATGAGTATAGAGATGAGTTATACCGTTTCCATAAAATCAAGAAAAGTAGTTCAAAACAAAACTAGACGATAAGATTACTATTAAAAAAAAAAACTAAACCCATTCGAATAAAAATAAAATTATTAAATTTCTAAAATAGTATAAAAGAATAATTATTTATTTATTTAAAAATTTTCAAAAACGTGAGGGCACATCTAAGGCAAAGATTAAATTAATTTTAATTTATGGTGTAATAATTAAAATGCATTTCTGACTTTTATTTATTTATATTTTTCTCATTTAAAACTTCGTTTTTACATTTTTACGTCATGATAAATCAAAATAATATTATTTCAACTTTTTAGCTTACTGAAAACTTTAGTAAATTCTTTAACTCATAAAATAGTTCTTTAAGAAAAAAAGGTGCAAAGTCTAATTAAATTAAACAATATAGGTATTAGTAAAATGAACTTCCTATTTTGGATTCATTTTGAAATGCAATTAATTATACACAAATTCTGTGTAAAACATCTTTTTCTTGCATTCAAGAATATTTCTTATAGTACTCAATTGGTTTTTCGATTCTACTCTACGATAACACGATCAAATAATTTAAATTGACGGACATTGATAAAACAACGTAGATTGATCAGTTTAAATAGTTTTGCAGAAGAGTGAGTGTGTTAGGAATTTTAATGTAATTCAAAAAGAAATACTACCGCATTTGCTACTTTTACATGATTCCTTTTTAATTTTAGCCCTTCGTGGGATTTAGAATTACAATTCTAAAAAAAATAGTATCAATAGAAGAAAAATTAAAAAAAAAGAAAGCCCGTTGCATCGGCCGGGAATCGAACCCGGGCCGCCCGCGTGGCAGGCGAGCATTCTACCACTGAACCACCGATGCTTGTGATGAGATGAGTACGGAGATGGCTTTATACCCTCCAGATTTAAAGTACTTCTTCCTAAGTCTTTAAGGTACTTTAAGGTTTAGGCCTTAAAAAGTCGCTCTTGCAAAATTTTTTAAATTTAAAAAGTACCCCTGTAAATAAAGTTTAAATCATTTAACATTGAAAAATCAATCTTAGACTTCAATTGGTTGAAGTCTAAAGTTCTGGCAAAAATACTTCTGCAATCGTTTTTAAAATCAAATACTCGAGAAAATTTAATAATGACGAATGCCAGGGATTTAATGTTTTTATTGATTCAAATGAGAAAGATTAAAAATTTACTCAAAAAATCTAGTTTTGTACAAACAGACATTTTCATTACTTTTCCTTACAAAAATATTCAGGTTATTTATTTAAAACAAAAAGTTGAAACTGTCTTTTTAAAATATTATTATATTCTTTTAAATTTCAAACGAAACAACTCAAATAATGATAATGTAATACAAAATACTTTATCCCTTATTGTAATTGTTTTAATAAAAGGGATTTTTTGTTAAAATTAAAATCCTAAAAATCCTAATTCATTAATAATGATGTCATACTTTAATTAACAATAATGACGGTCGTTTTTTTTGGTTTTTTTTTGGTTTTTTTTTTTTTTTTTCGGTCACTCAATCGAAATGAAAAAATATTATAAATTTTTTTTTTCGAATTATCTGTTGAAGAGTAATAATATATCATGCCTATTCGTTTCACTTCCTTTGACAATTTAATTAGAATGCGAGCCAACAATTTCATATGAGGTAACCCCTCGAGTTATTTCTATCTAAATGAATTTTAACATTTTTATATTTATGGTTATTAAAAAAAAGAAAATATATTTTAACAAATAATAATAATAATAAATTATCGTTATTTCTTATGATTTTGTTTTTTTGTTTATTTTTATTAGATACATGTGAAGAAAATATAAAAATATTAAAATTCACAAAATTTGCAAAATAATTTTTGAATTGAAATTATTATTATACATATATTTGCTATATGGATAGTTTAAAAGAGCTATTTTTTTACCAACTTTAAATCTTTTAAAACTTTTACCCTGTTGGAGGGTTTAAAAATTAATTTAAAAAAAAAAAAGAGGGTTCATCCCTATTTTTTTTCGGCTTATCAGTTTGTTTTTAAAATTTAAATGAAAAGAAGAAATTGTAAATTTTTTTAATCAAACAATTTGTTTTTTTTTTTTTTTTTTTTTGAATGCCACGAGATACGTTTTTTTGAGATTTTCCAGTACCAATTTTTAATTTCTGCTAAACTTTTTGCTTTCTGGACTGCATTAAATAAACAAAAACCTTTGAATCACGAGAAATGATATAAAAATTGTAATAGCAATTTTTTGCCTAAAACTTCTTTGAAAGATTATAGTTTTTTATAGTTTCTTGTCGAGGACGCTATAGACTCATCTCTGTTACCATCTTTTCGTAAGCATCGGTGGTTCAGTGGTAGAATGCTCGCCTGCCACGCGGGCGGCCCGGGTTCGATTCCCGGCCGATGCATACCTAAATTTTTGGTAATTTTTTTAAAATAAAAATAACAAGGATGATAACAATACCTAAAGATAAATTTTAAAAGCTTCACATAAAAATGGGGAGCAAAACTAATTTTTGTAAACATTATTATTATTATTATTATTATTATTATTATTATTATTATTATTATTATTATTATTATTATTATTATTATTATTATTATTATTATTATTATTATTATTATTATTATTATTATTATTATTGTTTTGGAGAAAAGAAGTAATAAACTTATTTTCCATTTCAATAAACATCACGCAAGAGAATACAAAAAAAAAAGATAATGTATTAAAATATGGTAGTGTTTACAAATGATAAATTTTATTCCTCACACAAAAACCAATAACAAACAATACCCGGATGCTATGTCATGGTCTCATCATTTTTGTAATTTTTAATTCAGTCATAAGGTGGGGTCAAAAAATTAATAGACCATTTTCATAATTCATATTTTCCAATTTTTGTAACGGAAATAATAATTTACACCGAAAATGTGAATATACAAGTAATAACATTCTTACATTAATTTTAATTACGAGATGGGCTTATTTATTACAACCATGGGAAATATTTTTTAATACATTTTCCTTCTGCAATAGAACAACTTATTTTTTCGAAAAAAATGTACCGTAATACATCATTTTTTCAAATTTCTTTTTTAACTTGTTAAAAACTTATACTATCTTTCAAAACTTTATTTTCTTATTCAATGAATTGATGTGAATTATTATTAAAAATCTTACAAAAAGTTAAAAAAAGAAAAAAAAGTCAAAACTTATGTTTGTGTTTTTCAATCCATGTTTGTTAAGTCTTTTAGTACATACAGTTTTTTAAAACCCCTAAACAAAGTCACCCTCTAACTTTCACCCCTAAGAAAGAGAAACTCATTTGAACCCTTACACATGTATTCACAAAACAAAATTGAACGAATTTAACCATTTATCTCGGTGGAAAAAAAAATAAATGCCAAAATTATTTTAACCCAAATAAAAAAAGTGTTATGCTAAACATTGGATCTCAAAAAAAAAAAAAAAAAAAACTATCAATGATTCATTTATAAAAACTTAATTTTTTCTATTGTAATTTTATTGAACATTAATTATTTAAACCTTAAACAATAAGAAAAAGAAAAATTTGAATTTAAAATCAGGGATACAGCATAATTATATGTTTAAGGGTGTAAATTTGTTCTCAAAGCCTTAATGATGGTCAGAAAAAAATCACCTAACACAACATTTGTAACAATTTTAATTATTTCCCATTTTTTCTAATAAAAATTTATCACAATAATTTTTATAATTAATTTTTTGACCGATTTCGATTCTATTTCGACGTAATAACGTAAAATTTTTAATGTTAGATGTCCATACCTTTATATTTTATACAAATCTAAGGATTAAACAAAATTTAATGTGAATGATGTTTATTGTAAAATGAATATTAAAATTTGCCTTAAGTTAAATTTGAACTTGAAATTTTTAAGAGACATGCCCAATATTAATAATTTATTTGTATATTAACGCAATTTATTGATATTCGACATTATTTTTTTTTTGATTTTTGAAAAAAGAAATAAATAATAATCAACGATGAAATGAGAAAAAAAAATTCTTTCATGAAATTCAGTTATATGAAATTTTAACTAATAAACAAAGCCATAAATTATTATTTTCACGGCGTTAAGGAGTGGATTTTCAAAATTAATGTAAAATAATTCCTAATTAAAGTGATAAGTTTTAAATTTTTTTCGTTAGTTTTAAAAAAATTATTCACATTTATTACTAAATTAGAATCGAACTTCTTTATATTGAAAAAATTTTTTTCTTAAAAATGCCTTAAATACTCAATAAGTATAATTGATATTTTAAAACGAAATATTCTGAACTTTCAAAGCTTTGACCTATTGAATCATTATACGTTTTTGTAAAATTTATAAAAATTTATTAATCATTTTATAATTTCATCAATAAACGTGAAATAAACAACAAATTTAACAACGAGAAGTTAATTTCTTTCATTAAACTTGAACAAAACAAGTAGGTGAATGACGCCATCTTATTATTCAACAAAACTGTTACGCCCCTTGTCAGGTACATTGCAAGTAACGATAATTATTGAATATAGAGAAAAATCAATACATTGATTAAAATAAATTTTAACAGATAAAATGGCTACCAATAAATAACATAAATTTTAGTCATCATAACCTGTAAAGTAAGGTACACGCCCTGAACCTACCTGTACATTGTACGGTTCTATGAAGTTGTGCCCAGTAAATGTTTCACTTATAAACGTATATTAATACTTGTACAAAAATATTTTCACAAAATAAAGTTTTTAAATAAATAATTACTGTTGTCGTAGTACCAAAATATCATTTTGGTTACTAAAACCTTTTATAAAATAAAACCTTTTCAACTGCCTCGCACTGACCGTTGATTCAGTACTACCAACAGAGCTATATAAAATATTTCTTAATTATGCTACAGAAGCGACCCCTTTTAATATTACTTTGCACTTATTATTCTGTAAACAAAAATGGCGACGAAATTAGAGTATGTTATTCAACATGCTTTGAGAACTTTTAGGCATTCTCACAGGAAATTACCTGAGTGTTCTGTTACAGAATTAAACGAGTTAAGATCTTTAGCAAACGAAATTACAATAAGTGATATTGGTAGACTTCGAAATATCTTAAATCCCAATGAATTAAAAGAATTTATGTTCAAAAAGAAAACTTCTCTTGATTATATACCTGTATATGAAGATTACAGTATTACTGTCGGCGTGTTCTTACTAAAGCAAGGTACAAAATTACCCATTCATGACCATCCTAATATGCATGGGATAATAAAAGTTCTTCAAGGAAAATTAAAAATTACAAGTTATAGTGTAATAGATATAGAAAGTTCAATTAATGGAATATACTCATCAATGTATTACAATCATCCTCTTAAAGTAATTAAACATCCTGAAGTAATACTAACAAATGAAAATGAATGTTGTATGCTTACTCCAACTGAAAAAAATATTCATGAAGTTGAATGCATTGAAGGACCTGCTGCATTTTTAGATATTTTGTCGCCACCATATGAAGATGGAAGTTCAGAGGAACCCAGAACGTGTCATTACTTTCAAGAGCATTTGCCATCTGCACATACCGATTCTAATGAAATAGATGATTGTTTAAGGCTAGTGCAAGTTCCAAGTCCTTTTTAAATTATTATTAATTATATAAAATTTTTTTTTGTACATAAGTAAAAAGTAAGTTATATTAAAAAATTCAGAAATTACGCCTTAAAAGTTTTTAGTTTAGAAATTTAATTTAATATCGTTAGCTAGTAAAAAAAAAAAAAAATTGTATTATCAATAATTGTTTATAATTTTACATCACTTATTAAAATTTTCTTAAATAATTGTTATTTACATTGAGTAATAATAAAAAAAAAACTAAAAGTTTTTCCAATAAAAATTAGAATTTCATTCAGTAATAAAAAAAAAAAATATTTATCTTTGTTAATAAACTGCTGTTTCTTGTTTAATTTTTATATTTTTAACTTTTTAATCATTGTATTTTAAAAATTAAAAATTTCAATAAGTGATTCTATTTATATATATATTATTATTTTATGAAATGTTCAACACTTAATTGTGTATTTAATCTGCTAAAAAAAAAAAAAAAAATTTACTAATTATACATATTATCTTTACTAAACGATTGTTATGAAACATAAACTTAAAATATTAAATATTTCATTATTATGCTTATATAAAACATTCAATTATTATAATACTTTTTTTTAAAAAAAAAAAACATTTACATTTATTCTATCTATTCCTAAATCACTGTTTTATATTCTTAATCATATGATTAAAATGTATTGCATAATTTATTTATTGTTCACTATTTATTTGATCATTTTTGCAATAATTGTAAATTTAAAAATGAAAATAAATAAAAATACATAATTATTTAGATATTTTGTGTGCTTTGTAAAGACATTCATATGCTTTTAGAATTCAGAATCTTTTTTCATATATTTTTACTTTTTTTTTTAAATTTTTATTTATGAAATTTAAAATACAATTCTTTTTCAATTTATTTCCTTAAATTAGAATTAAATTTCTTTTAAAACACGTTATAAAATTTTAATTAAGAAAAAAACTTATCTTAAAAAAATAAATTTAAAAAAAAACTTTCATTTTATTTAATAAAAAAAATCTTTAAATTGCGAGGATTTAACAATAAAAAAAAAAAAAAAACTTTTATTAAAAAGAAAAAATTATATTATCGCATAATCATTATGTCTTCAGCTAATGAGGTACATTATTCTAACAAAATATATATATATATATATATTTATTATTATTTTTACTATCCTTATAAATTTTCTTTTCCTGGATAAAAAAAATACTAAAATATTATATTTTCCCGGTAATACTTTTCTAGTCCAATGACCATTTTTGACAGTACTCTATAGCATCCATTAAATATTTCGGTATTTGATTTTGATCTCCCCACGGATAAAGTTGCATTGAATTATCCAAATGTATTTCTTGCACAGTATTAACGCTAAATGATCTTGGAGGCGTTACCATTAATAACGCATGTTTATTATTATCTGAACAATTAAGAAATAAAATTTATTTTTAAAAAATTAAATTTTTCGCTGCTCCTCTAACTTTACTTAATCGCTACAAACCTGAATTTAAAATGAAACATTCGCAATTTCTATCAACGGTGAATGAAACTGAACGTTTTAATATCGTAAAATTACTTCTCGGAGTTACATTTAAATCAAAACTCATCGTTTCATTACTTAGAATAGACACTTTAAGGGCAATAAAAGACGAGCAATAAAGTTTTGGAAATATTTCAGGTATGTTCGTTAAACAATGTACGCAATCTAAACCTAAAAGTAACGACATTTACGGTTATGATAAAAATACTAATATAATAATACGAATGAACGGCAGGAATTAACCTTTGCGACTCAGGTTCGGTGGTAAGGCATAAACCGGCATAACACCTTCGAATCCCGATGGAGTATCCAAATCTTGATCTCTGTTAGAAAAACCTTGAAATAAACCATTATTGATGGCATCGGATTGAAAATTTGGATATTCATAAATTCCATTTTCATTTTTTAATTCTCTTTTCGTTTCGTGACGTTTCAAAGAATTGTCGGAAACTTCCAACCAAGATTCATTTTCGCACTCTGACGTGAAGTTATATTTCTAAAAATTTGCAAAATTTAAATAAAATAAAATTAAAACAATTAATTTTCTAACAATTTACCATTGTTGTTTGACGTTTGGCATCGTAATAGTCGTAAAGTTTTACAAGAGCGGGAGCCGGATTTCGAACGCAAGTTTCTTGAACGACTAAAAAGTCAACGCAAACTTTTTTATTTTTTAAATCTTCAAAATAAAAATTAATTTTGTCTTCGTATTCTTCCCATCTTCTAACACCTAAAATCAATAAAAATCAATTATAACAAACACAAAAATTAAGAAAAGAAAAAAAATATTTTAAAAAAAATTAACCTTTTCGAGAAACGGGTATTTCATATAAAGACGAACGATCTGGATAGTATCCAGACACCATCGAAACTTCCAAAACAGCCATATTGATCTTCTCTTTCCCCGATTTATATCTTACGCAAATATGAAATTTTGCAATTGAATATGAATCCAAATCCGAAACCGAATGAATTCTCAATTGAATTTTTAAATCGTCGTTTGGTTTTCCTTTTTTAACGTAATAACGTAACGAGGTCTAAAACAAACGCGTCGTATTATTATTATTATTATTATTTTATTTAAAAAGTAACGATCCAACGGCAATTAATTAATTTTTTTTTAGTGTACGAACTTTAACTAAAGCACATCCTTTTCCGCTGCTTTCAAAATGAATATCGGTGACAAATGGAGGCAACCTGACTTTTTGTTGTAACATTTTATTCGGATGAGAAATATTAAATGAGTATCTTTTATCAGATGCCGAAACATTTACTCTCAACGAATCATATTCATTTGTACGTGGAAGAGTGGCTGAAAATTTAGAAATTGCTTCCAAAGCCAAAACCGTATCCTAAAAAGTATACTACACATGTTTAAAAAATTTTCTTTAAAACGTTTTAATTATTTATTTAAATTTCGTACTTGACTCGAAACAAATCCGCCATATTGATTTTGATGTTGAATCAACCATCGAATGGCATCAGATGCTGCTGCTAGAAAATGAGGTCCACCTAATTTTACTAGAGTGAGAATTCCGTAACTTGTGGTTTCTATGGCCGATTCAATCGTACCTTGACACAAAAAAATTAAAAAAATAAATTTTTTCAAAAGCAATTTTCAAAAGAATGGAAATAAACTAAAAAGAAATTTACCGTCGGCTTCCCACCACAATAATCCATACGTTCTCTTAGCTTCTTTTAATAATTCGAACATAAGCGTTTGTGATTCTCTATATTCTCCAGCTAAAATCAATGCGTAGGACAATAAGACATCGCCGTACAAGCCCAAAGATTCTTGATTGGGTTTTAAGCAAAAAATTGTATTTTTTACTATTGGGCTATCCTTTGAAATTCCAGCTTCGATAAGAGAAATTAATATATATGCCGATAATGATTTTGATGAATCTTCCTCTATTAGTTTTTCCTTTAGATAATCAAATTAATGAAATATCATTTCAAGAAAAATTTTTTATATTTACTTTATGAAATAAATAAAACTTATTATTATTACCTGCAATTTCTTATGATAAATTTTTCCCACCATGGGAAAACATCCATTTTCCAATTGACGTTTTATAATCCACGATACTGATGAATTCAAATTAGTTTCGTCCACGTAAATGTATTTT